GTGTGTGTGTGTGTGTGTGTGTGTGTGTGTGTGTGTGTGTGTGTGTGTGTGTGTGTGTGTGTGTGTGTGTGTGTGTGTGTGACGTGGACATATGTGCCTATTTGCGCGTTCTTAAAAGCAAGTGTGTAATGAAACGTGAATCCGAAAAGATGAATCTTGTTCTGCACATGATTCCTTGACCAAACTCAATACCCCCGCGAGAGAGACGGCTACAACAATACCAGGCTGATCTCTCCATAGCAACACACATGGTAACACAAATCTATTTCAGAGCAGGAGCGCAGCGTAGCACTTAAACGCAGCGGACAAAAAAAATAGGGAAAACAGCGATCAATTATTAAAAGAGCTTCATGTTCATACTTACAGCCTGTGTGTTGCCAGCTGCAGCCGAAACTAAGAGGCTCCTACGGCTCACACCTACCTCTCCTCGCACAATGCTGAGTGTTATCAGGGATCTACAGCAGTGCCGCTCCTTCGTCATATACAGAGGATGTGATCTAGGATCTGCCCCTTGTTTGACATTTAATTGTTCAGTGAGGTGTGTTTACTTTCAAGGTGTTGGCTGCCCTCTCAGACTCAAACACAGACAAGCAGTGGAAACATGGAACACTAATGAGAAAAACAAACTCAGGGCCCTGTAACAACAGCGGAGAAATGACCGATAGAAAGTTTAAATCAACATAATGTTTCTCCTGGCATAAGCTCGCTGGTAAATCACAAGGCTGAAAGCAGATCTGTCGACATCAATTGTTCAGAGGCCCGAGCGTTCAGCTTTACATCAGCGTAATTGCGAAGCCAACATAAACACACAGCTGATAAGATTAACTGCTTTTTTTAAAAGGGCTGGCAGTACAATTACCTCAGCGTTTTCCTTAATTTAGACAAGAGGGAAAAACACATAAGTGTTCTGGTATTTACTTGAAATAAATGGTCTTAGTTATTGGAAAATCTGAACAGTGAGAAGCAAAAACTGGAAATACTGACACTTTGATGGAGAAAAAACAGAACATGTTTTCCTTCTTTACAAAGAATACTTGCCAAACCATTCCCTTTCCACTTTCCAAAGCTCTACACACAACCACCAGTAAACATGACCCCTGTAAATCCTCCAGACAGCGTCAAAGTGACACTAAATTGGCGGAAAGTGCCACTTTGATGCACCCTCTGCTGACCTTTCCCAGATCATATAGCCTGATTATACACGTGTTGGACTGACGTTTAGCAGGATCCGCACAAAAAGCTTTACAGTAAAAGCTTTCCTCCTCTTTTGAGCAGCCATTCTGCAGTGACACATACAACCTTATGTTCTTCAGAAAGGTTGACACACACACACCAAACATGGGTGACAGGAGAGGAGAGAGACGGCGCCAGGCTATGAATGTTTTTTCTTCTTTTGACCCATGATCTGATTTTCTTCATTTGATATGTAACGAGAGATGGGACTTGCATGACAACAAGTAAATGGTGACCATGCAGCAGAGATACACAGTTTGTGAGAATTTGTTGTTTTTACTTGTCGTACATGTACAATTTGTCCATGATCTTTGGCTCTCTAACTGTTGAAGAAATACAAATAGCTATTTGAGGAAAATCTAATTTGGCTTTGGAAAATTAACAGATATTATTTACAATGAACAAACCAAAATTATTAATCCATCGATAGAGAAATGAACCGGCATACATTGAAAGTAGATTTATTTTAGTAGTTACAAATAATCAACAGAAAAATGTATAATGATATGAGTTGTTAGCTGCAGCACTACAATATGGGTCCATTAAGCCACGGAAAACGTACCAGGAAGGATTCCCCATGCTCAGGCTCAAACAAATGCCCCCCCTGAAACTCCCTACTGCACATATTTCCTTTATTTTATATATGACCTAGTTCTTCCCTTGCATGTTTTATATCCTTCTAATATGTTTATTGATTAAAACAAACGCCAAGGCAGAATTATTTGTAAAGACAATCCTATTTGGTAAATTAACGTTATTCTGATTGTTGAATAAGCTACATAAATATAAACACATGATACAAAATACAAGCAAGCAACAGAAGGACATGCAATTTCTTTTAATAGTGGATTTTCTGTCCTTTCAATATTTGCAGGCATTTGAATTATTTTCAGGAAAACCACTTTATTTTGGGCCCTAAACGGCACTAAATCGGACCACCTGTTAAGTGGTTAATCACAAGCATCCGCTAGAGGAGACATTCGCCTATCCTCTAAATTCCACCTTGTTAAACGAAAGCAAATCCACATCCTATGTTTATGTACAACACTGTAACTGCAGGAGATATCACCATAGCAGTAAGTGGAAGGCATTAGAGTACTTACACAGCCTATCACAAAAGAAGCAGCAATGCACCTTTCAAAGCACAATGTTATTGAGGCAGGACACAATATCGTACTACCTGCCGTCGGTTCAGTGGGCTGGGTGTCCAGTTTCAGGGTGTGCTGCGGGATACTGTAATCGTATACACTTTATCGGGCTTGTTCAGTCACAAGTGTTTTGTTTAAGGGATTTCAAATGGGGGCGGGGGCACGGGCTGTCTCATTGTGGGCGAGTCAATAAGATGTAACCACGATCCCACGAATATCCGTGAATAGATAAGAGTGTCTGGCCATATCAAAATACTTGGCATGGTCAGATCTGAGCGAGGGAAAAAGGTTTGATACTCAAGAGTTTGTCCTGGGAGTACTTCTAAGATTTTTCTGATTTGCAGTGGAAATTGGATTATGTAATAGTTGTGTAATAAATAAAGGTCTTGTTTACAGAGGGAATTACGTGCTGGAAAGCAGCAAACAGAAAAGATGATTGAAACACTTTTGCTATAACAGCAGTTTGATTTTTATCATCTATTAGCTATAACTCATGATATCTTATCCTGCTGCATACTGACCATGTTTTGACTTTTTTGTGGCCAAGGCTATCAGACACAGACAGGATCAGTTTAGAAAAGACAAAATAAATCTCCCAGTATCATAATCAGAATGGATTTAAGAGACATAACGGCCCTGCAGCTTGTTAAAATCCCAGCTGTTTTAAACAGTAATGAGTTTTCACTGGGTCTATTATACCACTTACCAAAGACTCTTTTTACTGATGTTTTACTCTATAATTAGTACAATATGGGCTTTATTCGCCAGTATTTGTATAATGATGTCAAAACATTATTCAAATGATGGCCTCAACAATGCAGTGCACAGAGCAGATTATCAAAATGAAGCTTTGGCATGCATAGTTCTTATATGATGTTAAAACACAAACTGGTTCCCGTTTTCTTACCAATATTAGGAAAACATGTTGCACTATTCATAATTCATTTCATTTATTGGGTTTTGATTCCCTATCAGGAAAACACCCTGTGATTTTAACTTGGAAAAAGGTTGGTTGCAACTTCAAGAAAAAAAGTTTACTTTCTCTTCAGTCATTTCAGCATTCTGCTGAAGCTCCAAAATTGAGGTAAGAACAGTCATGTCAAGGTGGTTCAACGTACCACATTTTGCTACTGGAGCCAGCTAAGCCCCTGAAAACAACAGCAGCATTTTAAGAAGGAGGGTGGTGTTGTTATTTAGATGATTCCCTTTCCTATCCTGCGATATAAAAACCCCACATCACCTGCACCTTGAGGAAATGCTGGGGGAGGACAAACTATACAACGGTGGGGACGAATCTGCCACTCGTACGATATCTTTCACAATCAAGTCTGCTAAAATGTCCATATGTCTGTTGGTCTGATCAATTATTAACCATGTTTGGTCAACCAGATTTTTCAGGGAAGAAAACTTGGTCGTATGTAGAAAACAACGCTAATTTTTTAGCAGCTAGAATAAAAAACTATTTACTTCAACGTCTTCCAGTTGGACTTTTTTTGTATTGCTCTCTGCAAGGGCCAAAACACGTATAGCAGCCATGCAGAGAGGACATTCAACGCATGTATTTATCGACAACATATTGAAAAATGTAGATGAGAATGATTTTTGATTTGAGTTTTCTGTATGTCACAGTGAGGATTAATGGATAGCAACCTTTGTACTGCCAGATAATCTACATGATAACTATAAATAGATTTGACTTAATTTTAATCATAATACTTTAAACTATTAGTATTCTTTTGTTTGTCAATCATACAGACTGATCCCCAGATTCCCACTTGTTACTGCAGTTTCATCTAACCTATTACTGCATGAACATTTGAACTTATTTTTACCATGTATTATCTTCCAATAATCGTCTGTTTTATTATTATTTGACATGCTTTTACTCTTGATTTTCTTGCCATCATTTGTTTAGCCTGATGCTCTAAATCCTTTAAGGTTGATGCCTTAACTTTAATTATTTATTTTACTGTACATATTATAGTGTTGACCTGTTACATACATCTCATACACCTTTATTTAAAGTGTTTTTTTTAGTATGTTAATCACTGCCTTGCTAGGAGCTGCTGACAGATACAGGCCTACATGATATAAAGCTAACGCTGTGTCTGGAAGTCAGAATCCTGAAATCCCCCTGCTCAGAAACCCCTCGGTTCTGTGGAAACAACACACGCTTTGTTTCTAATTCAGCTGCTTGGGAGCATCATTATTTTACAGTGGGTTACCCAAAACAACACTGCAACATGGAACAGGTGTGTGTGCGCGTGTTTGTGCGTTCGCGATGCCGTTTGCAAGCGCGTGCTTGTGTGACCAAATGAAACAAATACCAGTTTAGATATGATATGCATCGTATAAGGTTACATGTGCGGTAGTTAACATCGGTGTGTTTTGGAAAAGATACCGAACACTGAATGACGATTCAAATACCTTGCACCCCCCAGCCCCCCTCCCGTACATACATACACATGCGCGTGCACACCGTACACATTGGCGAATGTTCTGTAACAAAATCATATGACAGGCGTGGTCATTGAGTGAACACGTTAAGGCCAGTTTGTTTTTGTCATAAGAGGATAATAAGCTCCGATATGAATGGAGATGAATGTGAAAAAAACCTACCTTATGGAGGTCGATGCGGATCCGCTCCTCTCCTTTATGCGGGCTCTCGGGCCACAGGTGATAGCTCGAGCCGTAGTTGGGGCTGTCTTTGCTGCAGTTGCTGCCAGTCGCAGACGAGTTCCCCGCGTACGCCTGTTGCGTTACCGGGGGGGTGGCGCGGCAGTCGCGGGAGTGAAGCTGCGCCTGGTCGCCTGGCGCGGTGATCCTCCCAGACTTATTGCGGTCTTGTTCACAGTGCTGCGGACGCTGGGGACGCTGGGGACAGAGCCCCAGTGCGCCTTGCTGCCGCTGCTGCTGCTGCTGCTCTTGCTGTTGCAGCAGTGGAGCCTGGTGAGTCCTACATAGCTCTCCTGAGCCGCTGGCGCAGTAGTTGATAGGCAAGCTGCTCCCCACCAGTAGCTGTTGCTGCGCTCGTAATTGTGGGATCTGTTGCTGCTGCAGGTCCGGAGTCTGAGACTCGAATGCTCTCTTGTTAGCCTCGATTGACTCACATACATTTAAAGAGCGCCCTTTCTGCGAGTTTGCACGGCTTCCTTCAGGGGAGGGGTCCCTCTGTTGGAGTCTTAAATGACTGTGCTGTTGATAATGTTGCTGCTGCTGCTGCTGCAACAACTGCCTGTGGTCTCGGTGCCCTCCTGCTCCTCCTCCTCCCCTGCAGCGGTCCACGATGCTTGCCTGTTGGTAATTATTGGCACTCCTTTGGATACGATCCTCCCTTTTAGATTCCCGGGGAAAGGAGGAGGAGGACGACGTTGGTGGCGGTGGTAGTTTAGGCGGCGGAAAAGGTGGGGAGGGCTGCGGTGGGAGAGGATCGGCTGGATGGTGATGATTTTGAGAAAGGCTCGCCTCCTGCTCGGAAAAACTGCAGTGGCAGCTGGGGAAAACAGGCTGCTTCTCCGACTGCGGCGGCGGCGGCGGCGGCTGCTGCTGAGAGCCAGCCGGGGCCCAGGGATCCTGCTGCAGGTGCGCCGGCTGCCCGGTGCTGGGTTCAATGGTTCGGTGTGAAGGTCGCTGAGCGGTGTCGTAGCTCGTCAGAGGTAGAGGGTCGCCGCTGTGCACAGGTCTCCGGGAGGGCTGGCTCAGACAGGGGAGCTCTTGGAGGCTCTGGCGATGAACGGCGGTGGTCGAAGTGCGATCTCGGTGGTGAGAAGAGGGCGGGGGCGGGAGGTTGAAAACAGGAGCGAGTGGGTCTGGGCTCGGCTTGCTGGTTTCTTGCTTTTCGTCGGGGATTTGGTGCTGATGGACAGCTCCCGCGTACCGATGCCGCATCCCCTTGATCGCCGCGTCTCGCTGTGGTTGCTCCTTTGCCGTGCAGAGCTCCGACACCCGTTCATTGCGATCAGTCCCAGCAGAATAGAACAGACTTGTATCATTGGTAGGTTTGACCAGGACCTGCCTTAAAACGTCACCGTACAGCCAAAACACCGCCTTCGCCTGAATATCGGTCCATTGCTTGCTATGCGCACAGGTTGCAGCGGATCGATCACTCCTTAAGGCTGTAAGGATATTACAAGAATGGGATTATTGAGATGTAGAAAGGTGTTTAAATCTCACTTACATGGTCGATCATTGTAATCCTGTGGAACCAATAGATCGACTTTGTCAATGTTGCCATAACCACCCTGCATTATAAGAAATCACTTTTGCTGCTACGTCACCCAAACATGCAGATCCACAGGCCTTTCAATATTTTTTCTCATCTTAGATAAACCCTGAACACTTTGCTTTATGATTAACTCCAAGTGATTCCCTATAATGTAATGTGCATTAAGTGTTTTGCAAAAATCATGCGAGACAATAAACCCACTCTTGGTGTCTCCAACTGAAACTCATTTCCACTTGTTGGCCCACAGACACGCATCAAACTGTTACGATTACCTCATGTCATACAGCCTGAGCACTGCAGTATGTATGTTTTATTTTTTATAATTCAGCTAAATATAACTGTTTTTTTTAATACCAGGCAGAAATATGAAGATATATTCTGCATTCAGAGCCTGCAGCATGCTGTGTGCGAGCCGCTGCTGTTGCATGCTCTCAGAACAACATGGTGAGGGCTTCACTGTCACAGCGGAGAGGAAGCCGGCTAGGAAACGAGGCGCAGACGCTGCTGTCCGTGGTGCTGAAGGATTTAGGACGAGCATCACTAAAATAGCTTCTGTCGTTGAGTCAAGTAGCCAGAGGATGGACAGATGTCCAGCACATATCGGCCAGAAAGTCATCTCAGCTGAAATTAGAAATGTTATAACATAGAACTTGGATTAAAGGATACATCTAGTGTTTTTTTCAAGTCTGTTTTTATAACAAAACAATACAAAAATGCCCATAATTGAACAAGTAATCGGTGGCTATATTCCTTCTGGCGATACTTGTTTGTAGCCTTTATTTATCAGGTAAAAATCCCATTGAGATCAACGATCTCTTTTACAACCTGCCGCACATTGGTAACACATGTAACAGAAATACAACAGAAAACAAAAAGGACACATACAACATAATGAGGGTTACAATTTACGTATTCACAATGACAGGTACCAGGAGTATCAAATATCATTTCATGCAGCTGTGCTTTAAAATTATGCAGGGGAACCAAAATACTCATTTTCAATATGTTTTGCAGAGTGTTCCAAGCTAGAGGTGCTGCGCACATAAAAGCTTTAGTGCCAAAAACAGTCCGAGCACTTGGTACATGTAATAAAAACACAGTGATATCAGTGAGCAGATGTAAGGTGTTTACCCAGCATGGCTTTATATATGAACATGTACCAATGACTGAGTCTCCAAAATGATGGCAGACCTGCCTTGGCATACAGGGTACAGTGATGAGTAAGTGCTTTACAGTTTGTAACAAATCTCAGCGCACTGTGATAGGCGGCAACTTGATCAGGTGCATTCACATAGATCAGATCACCATAGTCCAGCACAGGTAAAAAGGTCACAGAGAATAGCCTTTTCCTGGCCTCAAGCGAGAAACAGGACTTGTTTCTGAAAAAGAAACCTAGCTTCACCCTTAGCTTTCTAAGCAGGTTATTGACCTGATGTTTAAAAGAGAGACAATCATCAAGCCAGATACCAAGGTATTTATAACAGGTAACCACTTCAAGTACTTTTCCTTGCGTATAGTAACAATACTGGCCATGTGGAGGATGAAAATCCACATCCTGCCTTTAGGTTTCCCTCGACAGTGTTTCCTTGTTGATACGAAAAACAAATAATGGAAAATGAGGACTGCCCCCTCTTCGTCGACAAGTCAAGTATTTGGTCGTTTTGGTCATAAAACAACGATTTCTAGAGTTGATTATTTTTGTATTGCTTTTTCTAGATGCATTAGTTATTTCCAAGAAAACCTTCATAATTTAGTCAAACTCGGAGTGCTGAAGCTGCTCAAATTTTGTTGCTTCAGCTGAACTTTAAAAATCAGACCTGTCAGGTCATGGTGGTTTTCTATCTCTCTAAGTGAACTTTTTGACCATCCTTAAAACACAGAATTGCAGACTCAGCTGATCCGATCTGAACTGAGGGGGGTTTGCTCCATAGTGTTGAGCTTGGACTGTGCAATTTCTAATGTTTGAAAATCTTCTAAGGTTCATGATTAGTCAGCATTTGTTTCTATAGACATCGTCCCCCATGTCTTACAGCGCTGGTCCCTTTACAGCCAGTATGGATAAAACAAAAATGATTACAATAATGTGCAACTCGACATTAGTTTATTGTAGTAGGATCAACTTTGATGTCTTTGTTTCTGTCACACTCCATTGCATAAGTAATAGAACGTTTAAGCTAAAACAACAGAAAACAGACCATTTTAGTGCGAGAGAGAGAAGTTGAGGTTGAGCCAAATAGACAGAAAAGGGGGCCAACTTTTACATCATACATTAGCCATTCTTAATAAGTAATTATCCTTTCCTTAAAGCTGTTTCAGCCATTTGGAGTTTTGATGAGCCTCAAGACTGCAGCGGTGGCACACTTTGCCTATAACCACTGGAAGAAAGCTGAGGTACGTCTCTGTTTTTATAGCTGTGTGAAGTACTGCGGGAATTTGGAGCGCTCTCTGCCCAGGGCTGCATTGGAAACCTGATCATTTTCATTAAGTAATTGGTCGCTGTGACCTGTGTGAGTTCCTTGGCAAGATGGAGTTTCATTTGCTGGTTTGGGAAGCAATGTTACTGCTTCCACATGAATAATTAAATCAAACTTTACTACTCCTGGACACACACAAACACTCATTCACCAACGGGCTTTGAACAGCAGTGCCCACCATTTCTTTGCGCCTGCCTCCCCCCTCACAACCCTAACGACGCTGCAATATTTCATTTGAACAGCTTCTTTCTAGCAAAAGCTGCCATTACGATTTAGTGCCACTTGGATTTGTACCACGAAGCTGTCAAACTCGGCCATGTCAAAGCATATTGGGCGTCTCTGCCTTGTTGGCTCCTTTAGGGAGAAGCAGCGGAAGATCTGTGACACTAAAATGGTAGAGGAGGAAACATGGAGGAGGCCACTGGCTGCAGCACGTAACATAGGAAGTAAGAAACCTGTAATTACAGAGAAAGAGAAAACCAACCACAGCGAAGCAGAGAGATGTGTAAGTATGTGTGTGTTTGTGAGAGTAGGAGAGAGAGAAACTGATAGTGTGTGCATGTGTGTGTGTAAGAGAAAGAAACCGGACCGAGTGGGAGAGATATATCTAAAAAGAGCAGGTGCGCCAACACAGAATAGATCAAAAGAGTTCAATTGAAAAGAAGAGGCATGGTAGAAAATGTTTTGCACTGTGAAGTGAACCAAAAATAATTACACACATAGGTACAAAAATTAGCCCATTATCATCTACAGTATGCTCAACGATAAGTCACATGTGCTTTTATAATCACTACCCCAAGCCTGTTTTTCAGGTCTCAGGCTCGAAAAGGACATTTCCAGAACAAATGACCATAACTACACTTCTAAAAGGGGAAAATTAATAATCTTTTTTCTCAAAGTAATGATAAACCTGTGAGTTGGATGTAGAAAAGTCAGAATCAATATGGATGTTTTTTATTTTAAAGAAAATTTAGATTGAACATAGTAAAAAACTGTAAATTATAGTGTCCGTCCAAAAAATATGTTTTACTTATAGTGAAAACTACCCTTGGATGATGGGTTAGTAGACTAAAAGCTTTAGGAATCCAAAGTACAACATAAGTACCCTGTATCAAGATTGATGCAAAACAAGTGACATTTGACCTTTTTAGAGAGGTTTAGCAAAGAAAACTCCACCTCTGGGGTCATTTGGGTGGAAATGGGCGTTTTTGCCGTTTCTCTGCACCCATTGGTCGATTTTGATGATTGACATCTCTTTTGAACCGTTAGAGCCAATACAATCGAAGGGGAATTTCCACATACACACCTATGATACACACCAACGTTACCATTGAGAAGTGGGGGCTATGCGCACGCAGTTTGCCAAAAGCGAAACCTATCTTACGCTCTGAAATCTGAAAACTAGGTTTATTGCTGATGGATGATCAGAAATCATTTCAAAGTGACACAGACACAGTGGATTAACCTATGGATTCACCTTCAGCAGCGTTTTTATCATTTTAATGCCATTGAAGACAACTTTTGATCAGACAACAACAGAGGTAAGACATATTGCCGTGTTTGCTACCTAATGCTACGTGTTGTGATGTCTGTTTTTGTTTCTAATGTCGCGAGTTCTGATCATGGAGTGATGATATAGATACCTATCGATTCTGTGTATTCTCACGATGCTAATCGATATGTTGAATGTGCAGTTAAAATAAGTAATAAGGGTGTTATACCGTGAGTTGTTAGCATTTGTTCGCTCAGGGCTAATTCAGAGGCTCGGCGTTAGCCTTGTGTTATTGCAACAAAAAAACAAAATCATCAGTTTGCTGAGTTTTTCCCGTTACATGGATATGAAACATTCATAGTTTATTAAATCTTAAGAAGCCCTCAGACACTGTTGCTTGCAGATGTTGTGGTTTCGGACCGCCGAAGGGTCCGTGGGGCTTAAGAGGTACAGATACTTGGGTTTGCCTCAGTGAAATGTCATTTTATTAGGCATCTAGACCAGTGGTTCTCAACTGGTGGGTCGCGGAACCGTTTCGAGTGGGTCGCAGATGTGTGAGTGAAGAAAAAAAAATGAAAAAAAAAGAATTCCTTTTTGGGAAAAAAGTCAAACTTTTATTTTGAAGGCCAGATTTTCTAACTCTGTGCATGCAGTAGGCATTGGACCGGAAGTACCGGAGACCATACATGGTTTTGAAAACTTCTGTCACGTAGTGATCATCTTTGCTGATGTTTTTTCAAGTCTTTTGGCCAATCAGAATCCAGATTG